TGTGCTCCATCCACGACACACTATTCTATGCCCTGAACATCCTGTCCACCCTGGTCTTTGCTCATGCTGCTCCTTCTACCCAGAATCATTTCTCAGGATCTTATTTATCCTTCAACACCCAATTCAAATGTGACCCCCCTCGGCAATGTCTTTACTGACCCTGGACATAAGGGATCATTCTCTCCTCTTCTCCTCATCAGGGCTTTTACCTCCGCGTGGCAATTACTTTATTCTGCCACCCCCTCTCAAAGTCCGTGTCTAAGCCCATCTTTCCCACTGCATGGTGTGCTAAGAGAGTGTCCACCCCCCACACAAATGCCCTCTTCCTAATCCTCATACCTGCAGATATGGTAGGGTACACGGCAAAGGGGAATTACGGTAGCAGCTGGAATTAAGGTTGCTAATCAGCTGACCTCGAGACAGGGAGATTACCCAGGATTATCTGGGTAGACCCTACGTATTCACACGAGTCCTTAAAAGTAGAAGAAGAGGCTGAAGGATTGATCAGAGAGATGCTATAGTAGTAAAAGAAGAGATTCAGAGCGTGAAAGGCACTTGACTCGCTGTGCTGCCTTCGAGGACCGAGGAAGGGGCATCACCAAGGAATAAGGGCACGACTAGAAGTTGGGAACGGTGCTGGGCTGGCAGCCAGCAAGGACATGGGAACCTCAGTCCCACAACCACAAGAAGCTGAGCTCTGCCAGCAACCCCCATGAGCAAGGAAATGGAGCCTCCCCTAGAGCCTCCAGAAAGGAACACGGCTCTGACGACACCTGGCTTTTCTTCTGGGAGAGAGCCATGTTGGACCTCCGACCTACAGAACTGGGAGATAACTTGTGTTGTTTAAGCCACTGCGTTTGTAGTGACTTGTGACAGCAGTCGTAGGAAACTGACGCTGGCAGAAAGCTCCTTGAGAACAGAGACCGATTCTTTGACTCCTCACAGAGCTTAGCCCAGGGCCGGGCACAAAGAAGCGATGGATCAAAGGGCATCATTGGCTTCAATCATTTCACACCCCTGTGTCCCCCCATGGGCAAGGCTAACAAAGATCTGACAACACGGAACAACAGCCAGGAAAGAAACGGCCCTGCAACTGGGCCGAATACCCCGACCCACGAAGGACGTTTGGTGGCTCATACCTAAACACTGTCCTGACTGGCGATCCAGGTCAAAGCCATTAGTGCACTGTGCCTGCAGGGAAGGAGAGAGAAGAAACAGGCACGGTCATTTCACTTCCTTTTTACAGTAAAAGTATATAGCTGCGTCGCAGAAAGCTGGGGAAATGGAATAAAGAACAAAGGCATCCATAATACCAATACTTGCATTATAACCCCTATTCATTCTTTTTAAAATTTTTCTTGTAATTATTTTACACTCAGAATCCCCTTTTAAACTCCCTGCATCATCGCTTTATGACCCCCATTTTTAGCAGATGGTTATCGGGCTTAATGCTCTAGTTATGAAAAGCAATAATAATAATCATTACATCTGATGTGCCCAGGGCAGCCTGCTCTGTGTTCATCTCCTGTCTGGGAATGGATGCTGCTTTTAAGGGCAGTGATGCTTTCTTCGGGTGCTATGTAACCTCTCCTTTAAAGCATCTAGTATGGGTTCTTTGTCCCCATGAAATCTTCTACCTGATTCTGACATCTGCACATAAATAAAAGCTACATAGCACATGCAGTCAGTTTTCTAAGAAAAACAGAATTGGGGAAATTCCTCCATTTCAACCTCAGCAAGACAATTACACAAAGATGCTTCCAGAAAGGGAAAGATCTCGATAATCCCTGAGGTTTGTAGGCTTTATGGACAACCTGAGCTACAACTTTATGCACTTTAAAAAAATGTCTTGAGGATACACAACTGGTGAGCTCTTCGAGAAGACCCTGCAGCCTGACATCGTACAGGAATAAGCCCAGGAGGTGTGTTTTTGGCTGTGGCAGCTCCCATCTGTGGCCTTCCCTATGGCTTCAGTGGTTGGGCTTCCCTGAGCTGTGGGTTGATTTGTGGAGATGATGGATTTGGCCTGCATTCCCAGGCGAGGGCCTCAGGCAAAGGAAATGGAGCAGAGGAGCCAGGAGGCTTGCCAGAAAGTTCCATAGACCAGGAGACCAGAGTTCCAGCCTAGGCTCTCTAACTAAGTGTTGGCGTGGGTTCAACTCTGCTGGGCTGCCTGGCTTCAAATTCTCACTCTAGCCCCTGCTCGCTGCACTTTTCTATGCCTCAGTTTCCCCATCTGTAAAATGGGGGTGATAGTATGTACTTAGTTCTAAGTGGTTGTAAGGGTTATGTGTGTTAATATATGTCAAGCGCCTATAGTGCAGTAAACAGATCTTGTAATTAACCAGTGGACCTCCCTGGGTCTACATGTCTCTGTCTGCTCACCACGAGGCTGGGTTAGAAGACTCCAAGGTCCCTCTGAGGTCTAAAATGCTTTATTACTCTTCCCCAGTGGCCTGAACATGTTTCGAAATTCTTAATATGAAGGGAGAAAATACTCCCCTGCCCACATCCCTCAGCCCTGCTCAAAGGTGGGGCTTCTCTCGCTTCTTCCCTGAGCCAGAGACACAAACAGGCCACTCGGAGCTTTCAGGAGGGATCTGCTCACGTTGCTCAGGGGCTGACGCACGTGGGTCCCTGCCTCCTGTCGCTGCACGAAGTCCAGGCGCTGCAGGCTTCTCCCAGACCCTTGCCCTGAGCCTAACCTCACGCGGCCCTTCACGGGAGGGGTCTCAGCCCAGGTTCGCGGCTCAATTACCCAACACTGCATGTCGGGATTTTTGGGTATCCGACTTCCTCGCCCACCCCCTCCAGTAGGGGATGTGTACGTGGAGACACACACGGGCCCCTGGGGGCCACACGCAGGCATCCCAGGGGAACTATCGCCCAGAAACGCTACAGCACATTTTACTTTTTAACACTGAAGATAAATCGAGGCCCTCTGTGGGACACAAATGCAGCATGATCTGCTTAAAAGAGTGTTGGACGGGGCATCAGAAAACTGAGGTCCACCCCAGTTCTGCCACTTGTAAATGACGTCACCTAGGCTGAGTCTCAGCTTCTCCCAGCCTCACGTGTAACCTCTGTACAACGAAGGGCTCGGATTAGGTGAACTGTACAGCCCCTCCCACCTCCACAAGCCGAGGATTCTAAAATGCACGGCTGGACATCCTCACCCTGGTTTTTAATACTTTTAGATAATCAAAAAGTAAACATCTTACCTGTGCATTCCCAGGACTCGGAAGACAGAGAGCCAGGACGGTAATGATGAGTATCCTGCGGGGGTGAGAAGTTGAATATAAATGCTCAAGATGTGTTCAGGTCTGGCGGGCACATGGCACTCGTGCCGCCTGTGCATTTGTAACGGTGACTTCAGCATGTGCTTGTGTGGGGCAGGGTGTGCTCCGGAGAGGACAAGGGGATTCCAGATACCCCGACCACCCCAAACAGAACCATGCCTCTTCTACTTGCTCCATAAATTGGGATAATGTGTTAGATCACACTTTTTAATAAAGGGTTTTGCTGCTTCAAAGAAAAAAATAAAAAGGTCTAAAACCCACCACTGTGGTATTAACCAATTACTTGGTCTTTCCTCCTTACACGAGATTTGCCTGAGTTTTGAACGTCTTTATTCTGAAATGATTACAGAGTGAATAAGCCAACAGGCCCTCAAATGACGAAAGGAAAAGAAAATGAGAACATGAGGCACTTCGAGTAGCACCGAGGAAAAAAGGCGTCACGGAAGTCACTTTAGCCCATCAGAAAACCCCCCATCATCGGATGGGCTGGGGAACTGCCACCGGCAGGCCCCGATGGAGGAGAGGACCCCAGGGACCTGCACAACCCAGAGCAAAGGAAACAGCAGGAAAACTTAGGGGGAGGAGCCGAGAAACCAGGGGCCAGGCTGGCTCTGCCACTCACAAGCCACTAACCCCCTCTGAGCCGTGCTTCGGCCCTTCGTCACTCACAGGCTTTTCCCAGTAAAATCATGGTCACCAGTATACTTTAAAAATACAAACTCGGCTGGGCACCGTTGCTCACCCCTTCAATCCTAGCGCTTTGGGAGGCCAAGGTGGGAGGATCACTTGAGGCCAGGAGTTCTCAATCAGCCTGGGCAACATAGTGAAACCCCACATCTCTATGAAAAAATAGAAAAATTAGCCAATTGTGGTGGCGCATGCCTGCAGTCCCAGCTACTCAGGAGGCTGAGGCAGGAGGATCACTTCAGCCCAGGAGTTCAGCCCAGGAGATTGTAGTAAGCTATAATGATGCCAAGATTATAGTAAGCTATAATGATGCCACTGCACTCCCACCTGGGGGAAAGACTGAGACCCTGTATCAAAAAAAAAAA